GAACTATAGAAAGCAAGCATTCTATATTTGGTTTGTATAAGGCGAGCTCTCACCCCTATTCATGGAAAAAGGAAACAAGAGTCGCACGTGGAATAATAGGGCTTTGAGGGTTTCTTTTGAAGACCCCTGAAAATTAGTCGGGAGGTATTAGAATTTTCAATGTTGCTTTGAGCCCCCAAACCCTTAAAGTTCTGAATGTTCTGGGAGTATCAGGAATGATTTCAAATCACACCCTGCGTATCAAAGCAGGATAGAAAAGCTGACAAACTATTACACCCCCCCACGGAGATACTCAGAGGCGCTGGAGTAGCTATCTGACCATTCCCCAGGCGTGCTGGGCAGTCACAGCCTCCCACCTCTACACCTCAGGGGGGCAGGCGCACTGCTCTCTCTCCTTCGAACACTGCTATAGTATTACTATAAATCACAGCCCTGGAGATGCCATTTTCAATTTAAAATACTCCCCTAAAACTTTAGAATTTTGCAAAAGACTGAAAATTAAAGAACAGCAACGGTCCCTCATCAAAGTCCCTAGCAGGACAGCAGTATTTAGATGGCAGGGTGTCCCTTGCACTTGGCGGCCATTTGTTATGTCTTAGATGCAAGAGGAAGAAGACTGAATCATTATTCTGATTTCCTTCTAACTGAAGAACCCAGGGACTAGGCAGAAGTATCATCATCCCCGAGTTCCCATTAGACGAGAGCTACAGAATCTATTATTAAAAGAAGAAAAATCTGTCAGGATTATTTTGGGCATCGATGGATTAAAGGAAATTTGTAGGTAATTCTAGTATCCTTTGAAAAGAGGTAGATTTACAGCAACCCAAAAGGACTAACTTGTCTTTGGTAGGTAAGAGTTCAACCTGAGGCTTGGAAGTAAACAAATTGCAATCAGGTAAAAAGATGATGATAGTAATGAGATAAAACATCCCAAAACAACTGATAAGACGCTTAAAAAGTTATTATGTCCTAGAGACAAAAGCTTCTCACAGGCATCTGGGACCAGGCCCATGGTGCCAAGATCTATTTGTGTCCAGACTTTGACTACTCAACTTTATGACATGCCACACATTTTAAAACCTGTGATCAAATTTATTCCTCTTAAAAAAAATCATAAACACCATGTACAACTGCTTCCTTTGGTATTACACTGGAAGAACTGGGTGGTTCCCTGTTACCATTACTGACTGTTTTGATGAAAGATTCTACAGAAGGACCCTGGATCAGAAAGAAGCAGGGTAACAGAACACAATTTCAAATTCTCACAGATTGTAGATTTTGTGGCCCCATGGAGGGAAGAATGAACCCCTGAAACTACTGACCTGAAATAACCTTCTGAAAGGGGAAACAGGAATGTGTGAGTTGATGTTAAAGAAAGTGGGAAGAGTCGCATCATTTGAAGAATGTGGTCATCAATGTCACGTAACTGTATGTGTACGAACTGGTGGATGGTTTACTGTGCATGTTCTTCACAAATTGACTTTTCAACAGAAATCATAAACACAAGTTAAAAATTTCTTTCAAATCAAAGCATATGCTTGCTTGAATAAACTGCTTTGTCAAACATAAGCCTATTATGACTTGCACGCTTTAACTTTGATAAGAAATACCCTGTGAGTGCACTCTACCATGCACATATCTGATGCATATCTAACTACATTACGGAAGGACTGATGCTTTGTTACTCACTTTACATTATGGAACAAGTAATGCTTCATATAGTGCCTGATGCATGAAAAATGTTGTATGGTAGTTACACAATCTGGTGTCAATTTGAAGATGTAGAGTGAAGGGGTGGAATCTAGCCTGTCAATCATTGTATAGCCAATGAGGCCTCTGTGCGGGCATGGCCTTCTCCTGAGAATTCTGGGAACTCTCCAGTATTTCCTCCCTGGAGGCGGGAGGCACATTCTCTCTGTTCATTCCCTGAGATGCTCTACTGACAAGACACATGGCTGATAGACCCCATGACTTGGGAACTGGAGGAGCCACATGGAGACCCCTGGCAGTGCTGAGATGCATATACCATCAATGAGTACACAAGACTTTGCACCCACTGGCCTATGAGCTTCCTGTATTTGACATTGCATGTGTTTCGTGAAT